ATCCACCTACGTTTTGCGTGGCAGGCGTGGCACTTGGCGACATCCACGCTGCAAGTGAGTCCATCACTCTCAAATACGACTTTGTCACGCGCAATCTTTCACATCTCTCTCTCTCTCTCACATGCAACTTTATCGCACACAACGAACACAACTCTTTCACACACAACTTTTTCACACACATCTCTCTCACACATAACTTTGTCATCCACAACTTTGTCACCCACAACTTTTCACACACAACTTTGTCACACACAATCTTTCACACACATCTCTCTCACATGCAACTTCTCTCTCACACACATCTTTGTCACACACAACTTTGTCACACACAACTTTGCCACACACAACTCTTTCACACACAATTTTATGCAACTTTGTCACAGACAATCTTTCACGCAAAACTTTGTCACGCAATCTTTCACACACAACTTTGTCACACACACACACAATCTTTCACACACAGCTTTGTCACAAACAACTTTGTCATACAACTCTTTCACACACAACTTTGTCACAAACCATCTTTCACACAAAACTCTTTCACTCACAACTCTTTCACTGACACAATCTTTCACACACAGCTTTGTCACAAACAACTTTGTCATACACAACTCTCTCACACACACAACTTTGTCACAAACATTTTTTGCACACAACTCTTTCACTCACAACTCTTTCACTCACAAGTCTTTCACTCACAACCTTTCACACACAACTCTTTCACACACAACTTTGTCACACACACACAATCACAATCTTTCACACACAGCTTTGTCACAAACAACTTTGTCATACAACTCTTTCACACACAACTTTGTCACAAACAATCTTTCACACAAAACTCTTTCACTCACAACTCTTTCACTCACACAATCTTTCACACACAGCTTTGTCACAAACAACTTTGTCATACACAACTCTCTCACACACGCAACTTTGTCACAAACAATTTTTCACACACAACTCTTTCACTCACAACTCTTTCACTCACAAGTCTTTCACTCACAACCTTTCACACACAACTCTTTCACACACAACTTTGTCACACACAACTCTTCACATACAACTTTTAAAATGATCGACCCGCCTCCACCATATCCTTTTTCCTTTCTTCTTTCTCCGTGCCGCTTCAACCACTTTTTCTGATTATTGGAAGAAGTTGACTTGTGGGGTTATCCGGTCCTGGGGCCATTCACCGCCCAAGGAAGGAGACTGGTCCTTGCGAAGGAAACACACCATGATGATTTCATGATGCTGAATGAAAATAATGAAACAAACAAATCAGCCGAATGTGTATGCTGTGGCGATTCTGAATGTGGATGCTGAATGCTTTGCCGAAGGCTTCCGCAGGTGAAAATTGCGAACATTGAAAAACAATTCAGTTGGCAGTGCTTGAGGAAGGGGATGTTTGAGCCTGAGAACAAGCTGAGCAAAGTAGAACTGATCTTAGTTGAACAGCATTGAAAGTTTCGTGAAGGGCCCCTCATGGCCCTCCCATGTTTTCAGTGGCGCTAGGTGGCTGTAACGCAACGACGAAACCTGGACACAAACAGAAAGCAAGAGGACAAATTAAGGAAAACTTGCAAACACACGCAAACGAATATGAATAGGAGCATCGTAAGGAGCATAATAGGAGCATAATGAGAGCACAAAGTCTGCTGGAGATTGAAATGTGGACACAGGCATGTGCTGACATCTTTTGAGCGCTGTCAGCTGCAAAACAGGAGCTCCAAACAAAAAAAAGAATGAACACAACACACTACGAGGACAAATTCTTACTGACAAACAAGGCCGTGTCAGCAAACCAGACCAACGGCGATCAAATCATGACCATGAAAAGACACCTTTCGTGCCAATTGTGCAACATATTGCAACATGGTGCAACTATGACACAGCGAGAAAATGGGAGAAGGGACATGACTCGCTACCACGGGATCTGGGCTTAGGATGCTTAGGTCGGCTTAGGTGTCTAAAGACACGCCGCTCGCTGCCGGATTGGCGAGCGCTCCTTTGGCACAGTCCTATCCTGTGGAAAAAGCTCCCGCTGAATTCAATGGAATTCACAACTCTTTGGTATATAATCAATGGATGTCAATGGTTGCCAAGTCACAACTCTGTTGCATCTATTTGTTATTTGATGTCATCTTTTGTCCCATGTTCCCAACATTGCAGGCCATTGAATGCTGTTGTGGGTAGGTGCCATCTCGTCCCGTGCCTGCTTCTTCCACACTTGCCCATTGGACCACTGGGCAAGCTGGCCGTCGCAAGATTTTAATGAACTCCTTGGCAGCATTCTCGGATTGTGCCAAGTAGTCGTTGCAATATATTGATATCGTGAAAACGAGAATCGCGGCAGGGTGGCACATTTGCCATATTTTCCCACTAACAGAACCCGGATTGGCCCTCCGGTCCCGTGAGCATCCACATCGCACATAACACAGCGTGGCACCTTGATGATGCATGACTAAACGATATTATCGATATTAAACGCTCGTTTTGTATTTTTCATATGCACAACGAACATTTACCCACACTTACATTTTACATCATTTTACATCATGTTAATTCATTTTACATTTACCCTCCAGGGGCTGTAGAATCTGGATGAATCTGGTCATGCCCAAGGATTTCACCCCAGCAAACGGACTGCGCCATCTTCTTCTCGAAGCCTTAGCGGCCGGGGCCGGTGACCATGCCATTCGCTCAAAAGTGCAGTGGCAGTGGCAAGGGAAATGGAACTGATAGGAAACCCACCGTGATCAAAATGTAAAAATGACACATGACAGGATGCAACGACTCACTGACGAAATTTGTCTTTTGTTTCTCAAGGCACCTCTCAAACCTTTCCTGTCCCTGGAAATAGATCTAGGATGATCTAGGATGATCTAGGATGATCTAGGATGATCTAGGAGTCTAGGAGGTATGAATACCTGGTAGGGCATTCACGACACCTGTGCTCCAGGCAGCCGTTTCCAGCAAGAACCAAGAACTATGCAGGAGCGGCTCACCACAAAAACGAGTTGATGTTGCTATGCTGAACCATGCTGAACCTATGTGCGTTTTCATGTTTCACTTCCCTGCAAGACCCTTGTGGCCCCATCAATTCCCTGGATCCATTGGTGCGTTCGGTCCGTTCTGCTCGCCCTGATTCGATGTTCATCCAAGTGACGAAAAGGAGAGTCTTGAATTTGCCGTGTGCACCACGAGACCTTTGACCACCTCAGCACCACAAACCAAAATGTCTTGCTATGTAAATACATGGATATTTGACTGAAATATACTGAAATACCACACATCAGCTACACGCATAACTATCTATCGTCTATCTATCTATCATTATCTATCTCTACAATTCTCTCTCTCTCTCTAAATATATATATATGTGTGTGTGTGCAGCATTCATCTATATTTATATGTATATTGATGAATTTATGTGTTTGTTTGATTGGATCATTTAACAGGAGTCCGAGGAATCTTTTCTGAATTGAGAGCCAAAGCCACCGCATGGAGTTTGAGTCATACTGATTTCTGATGAATCATGATGGACCATGACGCATTTCTAAAAAAATTCTCCATATTTCTCCTGTTTTTACCTTCCAAACCCTGCAAAGTATGCGGATCCGTGCGAAGCAGCTGAGGTCGGGAATTCCAACCCATCGCCCATGATGCCTTCGAAATGCCTTCGAAATGCCTTCGAATGCCATCGGATGCCATCGATTCTATATACAGGACGTGTCGATGTGGATCGATCAGCAAGGCACTCAAGCACACTGCATCACGATACGTCTTCTAAGCAAAAACGCAGCATTGCCTCTACACACTCTGTACTTCCGCGTGAACAGCCTGTAACAGCCTTCAACTTCCCTAGAGCTGGATCCTCACGTCTGGGACAGTCCTTCCAAAAAAGTGAGCAACAAGCTGTAATCATGTGGAATCCATTGCAATCCAATGGATACCCTCAGTGACCATGAATGCCGAAGGACTGTCTGTTCCGTGGGGCAAACCTTGAAACATCTACCAAAAATGGCATCGAACTTGAAATCCTTAAAACACTCCGAGCACCTCAAATGATGAGGGCTTGGCCGTCTGTGGATGGAGTCTTCTAAGGTTATAAATCGAATTTCATCGTGCATCACTTCCCACTTAAATCACTTGAAACACTTTCACCCCTTTTGTCAAAATGTCATGTCTCGTGCTCTTTTTATTTCTTTCTCACCTCTGCTGATCATATACGTGAGTATACGCGAGTGCTCCAGTTTGTCATGCCAATGCGCACGAGCAAGGAGCAAAGCAACGACCAGTCACGGCGTGCAACAAGCACGCACAAAAACAATTCCACACCAATTAAACATGATTAAACATTGTTCTATATTATTCTACACGTGTTTGAAATGATGCACAGGTCAGGGTATGGTAGGATATTCAAATGCTAGGCGCAGGCGCCCCAGCAAGAAGCAGCGTGAAAAAGGGATCGATGATCGGAGAGTGATCCGATCCCGACGCGGGCTTCAGCTGGAAACGTAAGATGTAGTTCAGATATGTTCAGATGTAAATAGATGTAATATAGATGTATAATATGTATATAATAAGAAACTTTCGGATCTTTCAACACTTTCAACTTCCAGATCTTACAGCACAGCATTGAAAACGCAGCGCGAAGTCTTCGCATTGCGAATTTGTACGATGACACTGTAAGAACAGCACTACTCTGATTTCAGAGAGCTGTCGAAGTCTAAACCACCATTCTATATGTTCATGGTGTCTGCAACAAACTCCGAGAGACGTCGAGCAAAAATACGTCGCTGCCTAGATTGGATGCCCAGTATACGCCTTCATGTTTTTTTTCATGATGCTGTGTTCACTTGTGAAGCTTGAAGCATGTTTGAAGCATCTCAATGCATCTCATATCTCATACCTTTCTTGTGGTGCCATGGCTCTACAAAATCCAGGCAGGAAGGTTGTTGCAGGTGTGGCTTTCAAGTTTAGAATCATGCGCGGCATCAATGCGCCCCAGCCTGAGATCTCATGTCTGGCCAGCTCCAATAAGAAGCTGTGACATGTTGCGACACTTTGCCCGACAAAATGTATAAGACATGTCCCTCGCGTCTATATTATGTTTACATGTCATCTCAGGCTTAGTACACCTCAATTCCTTCTAATTACTAGGATACACTATGATACACTGATATCACTGATATACTACAAGTAGGATATAGATCGTTCATGATTGTTCTGGCCTGAATGAATCCTGAATGACTGCATGGTGGCGATGTTAAATTGTCATAAAAATTCAGTGCTGCCGAGATGCGTTCAGCCAAGGGTGCTCAAGTGCCTCCACAGCTGATAATCGATTCTCTGACTCCACGAGCAACCGCGCCAGGAAGTCTCTGGCTCCTGCAGAAACGCGCTGAAGCTTGGAGACCAGAAATTTTCCGAAAAGACCAGAGAAGATTGGAGAAACGGAGAAACAAACGGGTAGAAGTTCGGTAGAAGTTCGGTAGAAGACCTTGAAGATCCGACATCTGAAGACTTGCCATGTCTTGCCGGCCCCTTGCGGAATCGCATACATTGACATCATAATTTCAGAAGGGGCTGCCGGGCTGCGTTGATCTGACGCTGCTTGACTGCGAAATACTACTCGATCACATGTTTAATTAAACAGTTTACCCTCGAAACAAGTGCGTTGTTTGGCCAAGGCTTCTCAAAGGATTTGCCTTACGACACTGCCCTCACACCCCTGCGGCGGGAAAAAGACAAAGATTTCTTGACCCTCTACTGGATATGGTATTTCGTATGATTTCTGCATTTTTTATCATATTTCATCTTTGCGGCAAGACATGGCAAGATAAGAATCAATCAGTAAGAATCGGAAAGAATCAGTAAGAATCGGAAAGAATTAGTAGTCAGAATCACATCGCCGGAAAACCAACGATTTCGGATACTTTTAAGCTTTTTCAAGTATGTTTCACCACAGTCAGCGTCCACATCCTGGAGGGATCTCTGGCAGTGACGCAAGCGCAGGGGTTGCTTGACGAGAGGGTAGCCGGCCTCTCAAAGGATAGGTTGGACACGATTGGTCAGGAAAGAGCCACATAAAACAGAATAGAAGAACACGAAGAAACCATGAGACACCATGAGACACCTGCAACAAATCTGCAACATATCCACAAATGTGAACGTGCATCAGTCTCTTACAGGACGATGCCGTTACCAACAACCACATTCCCGCGCAATTGAAAACATGCTCAATGCGGAATACAACCTGAATTGAGCGGATGTTTTTGGTAGTGAAAAATCAAGGGTGTGTGTGCAAACAATGTGGATCTAGAATGATGTAGACTGATTCTGTGCAGATATTGAAAGGGGGAACTCTATCTGCTAGTTATGACTTGACGACAATGTGTGCGACCTAAAAGCAAATAAGCGCTACAGTAATATGAAGGAAATACCAACATGGAAGTCCATGTTTGTACAGGCAGCTGGCCGCATCTGGCCGCCAACACATGCCAACACTGCAAAATCTGCAAAATTAAATTAGAGCTGGTAAGGATATCGAGCGATATTGAAAGATATTGAAAGAAGGGTTGCTGAGGCAACCATCATTGCACATCTTTTGCACTCTGGCCTGAAAGCATGGCAAAGAGCACCACACCAAGGCTGAACATGTCCAGAGAGCCATCACAAATCAATGTCTGGCTTCCTAGCAGTGAGCAGCTGAACCCAACATGCGCAACAGCTAAGCAGATCTAAGCAGCATTAAGCAGCTAGCCTGCAAGTTGTTCGACTGATTCGATTGCCCTTCACCCAATCGTGTTTGTGTCCAGGGGCCATAGGCCCGTAGTCTACGTGAGGTCTATCCAGTCTAATTATCCATTTTCTGCCGCTTATTATGCTCAAACGGCTCAAACTCGCAACATCTCGCAACCATCACTGCGTGACTAGCCATGACTTGGGCCATGACTCTAAGTTACATGCCACAGGATGCATCAGGATGCTACTTCCGACCAAGACACGCACTTCTGGTGCAAGGTAGACTGGTGTGCCTTCATCTTCTCCTGGGGATGCTGGGGCATGGGACCGTCACTGTACAGGTTTGATTTGCGGCATGCAGCTACCAATAGCTACCATTTCATCTGACCAACCTGCTTCGCAAGAAAGATCCGCAACAAATTAAAACAGCATAAAACAGCAACCCTCCCAAATGCTGTCCCTCGCAGTCCCTCTCTGAGCCCCTCTCCTTCTTCCAGTTCTTTGCCAGCTTCCCTGGCTAGACCGAAGTCGACAAGCGTGATCTCCTTTTCGCCACTGACGCCACTGACCATAATGTTTTCAGGCTTGAGATCCTCAGACCCAAGGACTGTGTGTATCAGTGTGGAACAGTGTGGCACCATGTCTGGGGCATTTGTTGGGGGAACGGTCTATCACAATACCCTCACAAATTGCAATGCTGATGATACTTGATGATCACATCTGATCATGAACAATATGAACAATATGAACAATATGAACAATATGAACAATATGAACAATATGAACAATATGAACAATATGAACAATATGAACGTGAATTTTGGGAATTATAACTAACTCGGCATAAACGATACACTGTAAATGGTTATTGCGCTTCCTGGGTGCAAATGAACTTGTGAGAGGATCTAGGTGGCTGCCAGCAATGCCGGAATCTATCCAAATCTACTAAATAGGAGCCCCATCCTATCTTCCAAATCTTCCACATTCTTCGAAAAGGCTGTCATCCCCAGCTACTGATGGGGCCCCACTTCCTCCCTTTCTCAAGCTTGGAAACTCGGTGAACGACGCCATGAGAGTGACAATACGCCAAGACTTCCAGAAGTTGTCGGATGATCTCCGCTGCCTGCTGTTCTTCCATGGGGCCAGTCATCAGAAGGGTCTCCATCAAATCAGTGCCTTGCAGGGGGCGCAGGTTACCTCAAATCCTCATCAACTTTGTCCGATGTTGTCGCAAAGATCCAGTTCCTACCCCGGTATCAGTTCCTTCTCTCAGTGATGAGTGTCATAACAAGAGTGTGTCGTAACAAGAGGACGTGAGGACGAGTCTGAACCCGTTATAAGCTGGTTTTGATGGCTCAGCTTTCGCAACTGTCTGCCTTGGGCATACTCAAGGATTAAATGCACACAGAACTCATCCTCGACGACTGCAATCAGTCCTCATGAATCGAGATGCGATCGCCAATTGAACATGCTCTATGGATCTCTATGGCATCTAAGAATATCTAAGATCCCTTATGATCCCTTTATCTGATCCCTTTATCTGAGCTCGCTGAATTCTGCCTTTCAGGCATCCTTTTCGGAAATCAAGGATGACATGGCATGACCTTGACCAATAGATCGACGATATATCGAAGAGATGCCACTGGCATAGGCTTGGGGATGTTTGATGCACCTAGCATATATATATATATATATATGTGTGTGTGTGTGTGGGTGTGTGGGTGTGTCATTATATACTATTTTATAATATATATATATCTATATATCTAACTCCCTCTCTCTCCTGCTCTCTCTTGATACTGTATGAACTGCATTACAATACCTGTCGCTGCATCGGCTCTCTGCGCGGTTGGCTCAAGGCTCGATTTATTTGATCGTGATCCAGCGAACGCAAGAAAGCCGCCTCGCTTAGAGCAGCTTTTCTATCCTCTCTGGATTCCTCCAAGTTCAAGTCACATGCATCACCCATGATCACGCTGCAAACAGCTGTAACACTGTAACACTGTAACAATGCTGCAACTGTCTTCTGAAAACAGAGCAGTATGCTACACGCAACACATACGACATACTTCAGTTTGCTGGTTTCGAAGCCCTGTCCTGCGGAATCGACTTTATGGCCACCAATTTGCCAGTCCTTCACGGAGATGGAAAAAGAATACGGTACAATACGGTACACTTCACATTTGCAGTAATTACATTATATTACATATTATTACATGTAATTAATCCAAACCCAATCAATGAGTTCCGTTGAATCTCCCAATGCTGTGCTTCCGTAGTGTGAATGTCTGCTGGTCCTGAGGCATTTCCCTTGGTGCATGGTCGCTGCGCCGCCCCTGCCTTGCCCAGGTGTCCCGCCACGATTGAATGCATTCCACAGCAACAGAATAGCACAAATGATCACGAAATGCGCTGCAATGACTCTAGGGAACCAAGAACTAAGAAGCTGCTCAGACAATTCGTCTTGCAATACCTTGCGGTATCTTGCAATGCATCTACGGCTGAAAGACAGGGCCTATACTGCGCTGAATCCTGGGCATGGTGAGCAGATACGCTAGGATAGATGCAAGTAGATAGCTAGTGATCTCCGACTATGTAGATACATAGATCACCGTATGAATCATAGCTGTTACCACACACACACACATATATATATTATAACGTAAAAATACGTAAAACATATCACAAATATCCTATATTATTATAGTTTATAAATATATATATAATATTACCAATTCATTAACAATTCATTGATATCAATAGATGCTTATGATGTTGTTCCGAGCGATGCTGCTGAGGCGCTCAAATCTTCCACCGATTATCTCATCTGGCGAGGCATCAGGGGTCCTGGACTCAAGCACAGCACCAAAACCAGAAGTGAAGTTTGGTGTCGTTGCACCATTGCAGTCCACTTAATTGCACCCAAATTTGCTCTTAAGCGGAATGAAGCGGATGGCAGCGGTCAAGGAGCGAATGTGAAATCTTCCTATACATCAAAAACCCTGGCGTGGCGGTTCAAAGGCGTTCGCAATAAGGGTGCTGAACTCATGTTGGCATATCTTGGCCACTTTCAAATCGACATGTTGATTCTGATTGCATGTTTGTGGCCTTGTTCGATCCCAACTTCTGCAACTGAAGGGGTCGTCTGCCTGACAGATTGCAGATACACTTGCAGGTATTTGCTGGTGTTTCAGCCCCATGCATTGACGTACATACAGTAGGATTACAGTCGGATGTGCAAATCAGGTTGTAATCGTTGGAAAAGAACTACTAGTACAAAGAGCATCAAAGAACTCTGGGTTGCTCATAGTGGCTCACGATGGCTCTGAGAGGGCTCTATGTCGCTCTGTTAGGATATGTTCAAACCAAACAGTCTCAGTTGCCTGAACAAACTCATTGGAATCAGCCTTCAGCCTCTCCCAGGTCCTGATTTTATGCATTTCATCTTTCATGAGATTTCATTAAACAATTCAATTAACACAAAGAATTTCAAAATATAACTCATTTGTCTTAAGATGCCTTGACGAACATCGTGGAAATCGCGCCTCACAATCTTCAAAGTAGCTGCAGCAGCTGCCAAGTGCCTTGGCCTCAGGCAGCTCATGGCAGCTCCTTTAGATTTAAAGTTTAGGAAGTTTAGGAAGTTTAGGAACCTCACGGGTCCATATGGGTCCATATGGGTCCTGGGGCCTCATGGGAGGAGTCACCTGGAGACAGTTAGCCACAAACGGAACAAGGATCTTCTCGCTGTGGTCAATATTGGTCAATGCTGGTGTCTGTAGTTGATATGCAAAATTATGCAAATCATTGAATTCTGAGGACACGTCGTCGTGCCGATGCAGGGCCTGACCAAAAGTACATACCCCAGGAACCGACAGAATCACAATGGTCACATCCCATCCAAACATATTGAACATGTAAAAAACTTCGATGTTTCCAAAACAGTCAAAATAGTCAAAGCATGTCAAAGCATCACTTCGCTATAACTTTGTTACACTTTGTTGCCCGTAGCATCATCGCTTCAACCGCAGCATAGCATTCAGCTCGTTGAGTGGCGCACAGCTGATGGCAATCTCGGTCTCGCCGTTGCCATCGTTTCAAATGTGCCTATCACTACTGTCAGTCGAAGCACGTAACTTCGATCGTGTCTTGAGCCCAAAAAAGAACAACATAAAACAACATAAAACAACATAAAACAACGGCACAATGGCATAATCCAACAGGAAAGGGCGGAACATGATGCAACATGCTGCGCCCCTCGGCATTCGTCTATGTAAGTCTGTGCATGTAGACAAACACGTATGCCTGTTGTATGCGTCCGGTATTGTATAATTATATGTGTAAGTATGTATGTATCATCTATATATATATATTATGTATGCATGCATACATACATACTTGCATGCATGCATGTATGTACGTACATACATGTGCACAAACTCATGATGATTCGTACATTATAAATTATAGTATGTACAATTATATACAGCATATATATATATATGCGTATATATATATTATATATCTAATGCATATCAATATACTCATATATATCATATATCCATAATAGCTAATGTGGCTACCTAGCTCAGCAATTTTCATCAACTCAGGCGGCTACACAGTGCCCGGCTTCAAGAACTGAGCTAAGCTGAGCTAAGTGTCCGCGCAACCACACGATTGTCAACCTGCAAAACCTGCGAGACACCGCAGTATGTGACATGAAACTTGTGAAGTTTCTCTTCAGCTTGCGTGATTCTGACTGAAGCAAGAACATGCAAGAAACGTCTGCGAACACCCGGTGACTGAACTTGTCGGGCGCTCTGGTCCGCCAGTCTAGCACGGTTTATCACTGTTTATCACATGTCTCTGACTGTATCTCCATCACGGGAAATATCTAGAACTGAATAGTCTCTGAATAGTCTAGATACGGTATCATGCTCGAATTGCCGCCTCCCAGCGTCCTTGGAGCTCTTTCTGGAAAGGAATCTGCGGTTCCCAGACAGTTAGCAAATGAAAAGTCAAACGGCGCACCTATGTCATGTCACAGCTACAAAGAGAAAAGTGTGTTACCGGTTGATGAGCTATTGGCATGTCATACCTATGTACTCCAGGTATGACTTCAAACTTGCGCCTGGCAAATGCCAGTACATTCAATACATTGTTACATGATGTTACATGATGTTACATGATGTTACATGCCATTACCAACTGTGGGTATTGTGAGTAGAAAAGTTTTTTTCGAAGCAAATGACAGCAGCTCACGGCAGCTCACCGGATCGCGGCCTGATATGGCTGGACGAACCGCTCGTTGAGACACTGGCGTGGCAACCAGCCGCCCGGCCTGAAGCTTGGATCACCGCCCTTGCGTACACAGAGAACACCGAGAACATACCAATCATTACCAAACATTACCAAAGATTACCAAACACACCAAAACAAAAAAGGCAACTTGAAGCGCCACGTGAATGCCACATGAACGCCACCGTTCCTTCCTTGAAGATTAAGGCGTCCTAATCTCAGAAATCTTTTACACTACAAACTTTTACGCATATCCATGCTATATATATTATATACATAATGTATCACATATCCATCTTGCTTCACCTTACAAACATCCCATCTAAGGCTCTGTGATCATGTCCCTCTATTCCGATATATTCCCGATACTCATTGGCTTTCAGGCAAGCAGCGTCCACGTACAAAACATTACAACACCATCCGCCCAAACGATAAGAGAAGTGTTTTGTCAATTTGTCATGTAAGACAAATGAAAACGTGATTTTAGAACCTTAAATGTAGCAATCACCCTTCCGACAAACACACATGTAGCGTAACTCTGCACATCTCTGCAAGTTGTTCCTTTGTAGGGCAAGCTAGGACGTAAACTGCAATGGGGTGCAGCAATCGTTGCCATTCTGCGAGCCAGCCATCAGGCGACCTTTGGCTAGTAGGATCACTTTTGGCCAAACACCAAATTTGAACGGCACATAACGGCACTGTGCATTGCAAGTGTGGCCCTGTATAGAATACTGTGAAGTATGCGCGTCTGATCTTGTCTTGTACCTGAAGCGGGTTTGGTTCAGAAAGTATGATGGCATGGAAAGTTTGAAATGGATGCGCACAAACTACGAATCTAAAATTGTCTGAACATGTCTCAACTGCATTGCTCCAAGGCCGAAACCGTGTGCCCAGCTGCCCTCGGATTTAGACACAAGTACAGCCTCGCCAACTGCCACTGAGAGCCGTTGCTCTCCACATGCCTTGCGGAGAGTTGTCTTGACGTCCCAATTTCTGCCGCTTCGGAAAACAACTGAACGCCAGCGTGGTTGATTGTCTACGTCCAAAGAACGGCAAATATATTGGATGATACGGTGTAGATATCGTTGTGACACATCACAACCATCAGAACTGCACCTCGCAGTCACACAAAGCACAGCCAAAATGCCATCCCACCCAACACCTCGCTCAGATTCATGGAGAGGAAGCAGAAACTGCAGAAAAACTCAATCGAACGTACCGGAACCACCCAAATGACAGATTTGCCACCCTTGAAGCCCCACTTCTGGATTCTTTCGAGGCTGGCACCAGTATGTGCAGCAACATCGTCCTGCCAACAGATTCAATCGATTGTGATGTAGCTTACAGGGCAACTTCTACGACATGATAGAAGAATAAAACTATTTTCAAGTGACCCCCACCAAGTGACATCATTCCATCTGGCATTCTTTCTGACATTCTATTTGGCATCTATTCTGGCATTCTTTCTGGCATGTGTTCGGGTCCATGCGTGCCAAGCTGCGGGGGAATTAAGGAAAAACAACACCAAATAAAAAAAAGAAATGTATAATTCAAACCTAATTTAGGAAAAAAAACAAGCAAAACCAATCAGAGCAGCCAAAAGTACATGAAGCAAAACCCAAAAAAGAAACTAAACCAATAATACCTGCACTGTTGTGTTGTTGCTTGTATTTGCTTTGTTTTTTCTCTTTGCATGTTTTCTTGCTTTCCCTTTTGTGGATTCTTTTTCTGTTGTTTGCTGTTTACTTCGTGTTTCTCGAATTTTCGAAGGTCCTGGTCACCAGGATCACCCATTTGTCTGTTTCTGTCCGTTTGTCTTTTTTTTCTGTTTTTGCTGTTAGTTTTGCTTTCAGTGTTGCTTTTAGTCTTTCCGTTTGACTCTGTTCTAATTGGTTTTGCTTTTTCAAAATAGTCGGTTGTTTCTCTTTGCTGTTGTTTTTAGCTTTTCCTCAAAAAGTGGTCCGGTTTTCTTGTGCATTAGTCTTCGCGTTCTTTATTTTTTCATCCTTAGAAGTAGGCTTG